GTTCGATGGTGCGTTGCAAGTAGCAGTTGAGCGAGAAGCCGATGATGGTTTATACGAAGTAAAGGACCAACAACGAACATCATGCAAAGAGCCGATGATGACGGTGGTCTAGTTGTATTTTACAAAGATAATAAATATCTATACGGAAGTTTGCCGACATCAGATATCCCTAATTCAAGGGGCCGGAGTAGTGTGTTATGCAGACATTCTGGCGACAGATGTATAGTGTTAACTGAGTTGAGGCCTGATGAAGATCAAATTGTAATGTTTCTTTGAATAAGAAGTTGTAGGAGATGCTTGTGTGCAATAGAGAAGAAGTCTTTCGAATCCACTAAGGATATGATAGTAACTTGTATGGTTGATGCCGATGTACTTTTTACTCTCAGATTCTTGCAAAAATGAACTTGTTGTACAATTTTTGCATTATAACTCCAATGATATTTCGTGGAATCTTTATAGAAAGAATTTTGTTAGCTCAGAATATTGTTCGATAATGCTGACCTCTGTGGAAGAAGTCGAGAGAATCCACCAAGAATATGAGATCTAGCTGAGGTTGTATGTCGGAGTCTTTGCTCGACGACGTTAACCTGTGCGGAAAGGTCGAGAGAATCCACCAAAAATGTGAGACCTTTCCGATGTTGTATGTCGGAGTCTTTGCTCGACGACGTTAACCAGTGTGGAAGAGGTCAAGAGAATCCACCAAGGATGTAAGACCTATCCGAGGTTGTATGTCAAAGCCCTGCTCAATGGCGTTAACCTGTGTGGAAGAGGTCGAGAAAATCCACCAAGGATGTAAGACCTATCCGAGGTTGTATGTCGGAGCCCTGCTCAACGACGTTAACCTATGTGGAAGAGGTCAACAGAATCCACCAAGAATGTAAGACCTATCCGAGGTTGTATGTCAGAGCCCTGCTCGATGACGTTAACCTATGTGGAAGAGATAGGGAAAATCCACCAAGGATGTGAGACCTATTCGAGGTTGTATGTCGGAGCTTTTTCTCGACGATGTTAACCTGTATGGAAGAGGTCGAGAAAATCCACCAAGGATGTGAGACCTATCTGAGGTTGTATGTCGGAGCTTTTTCTCGACGACGTTAACCTGTATGGAAGAGGTCGAGAGAATTCACCAAGCATGTGAGACCTATCCGAGGTTGTATGTCGAAGCTTTTTCTCGACGACATTAACCTGTATGGAAGAGGTCAAGAGAATCCACCAAGGTTGTCAGACCTATCTGAGGTTATATGTCGGAGCTTTTTCTCGATGACGTTAACCTGTATGGAAGAGGTCAAGAGAATCCACCAATGATGTGAGACCTATCCGATGTTGTATGTTGGAGCTTTTTCTCGACGGCGTTAACCTGTATGGAAGAGGTTGAGAGAATTCACTAAGGATGTGAGACCTATCCGAGGTTGTATGTCGGAGCTTTTTCTCGACGACGCTAACCTGTATGGAAGAGGTCGAGAGAATCCCCCTAGGATTGATTTTGATTTGATTGGGAGGGGGTGAATGCCGCGTATATCCCAAATTAAAAGTAGAGAACGGTCTATCTTTAGACCGTTATTGCCTTTATGAGGTCGAGATTAAGACCTTGCCTACGGAGTAGAAGTCTAGCAAGGGACTGTATAAAGCTTGTAATTGATTGGAATCATTCTTGCATTTGCTGGGATTTTTTTGAAATATCATATTGATGATGAAAGCATCAGAGGATCTTTTTTACCACGGTTTGAGTCAAAGTTTTCCTCCAGTCCGCATCTGATTCTTATGAAGTTGATGCAGAAATGACTAATGTCAGGGTGTTGGCATGAACGACCTTCTGAGGTTGGAGCAAAATTTTCCCCCGAGTTGGGAACCATTTTCTCATAGACGGCGCCAAACTGTTGCGTCCAAAAGTATTTGCGGTGGTGGAGAAATATAAAGTTTATCGTCTTAGCGTTGTACGAAAATCCGGCAAGCAATCAGATAAGGAGAGAGGGTCTAGCATTTATGAGATACCATGATTTTTACGTGGAAAACCCTTAAAAAGGGGGGAAAACCACGGGGCCTAGCCCAATTTGAACAAATCCACTAGTATTTGCAGTCGATTACAAATGAGGCCCTTTCTTGGGAGAAGGCCTTAGCTTGATGTACATCTTATAGAGTACATTACATGATGTAAATAGAAAGAGTCACTATTGACGTGTTCGTTTGGTCGGCAGGGCCATAATACGGGGCCTAGCCCAGTTTGAACGAATCAACTAGTATTTGCAGCCGATTACAAATGAGGCCTTTCTTTGGGAGAAGGCCTTAGTCTGATGTACATCTTATAGAGTACATTACATGATGTAAATACAAAGAGTCACTATTGACATGTTCGTTTGGTCGGCAGGGCCATAATCGGCAGGAGACCTGGGATCTGAATGACCGTTGTCTGGTGATGTAGGTCAGAAGGACCGTAGTAGGCGATGGAGGTCATAAAGACCGTTGTCTGAAGACGGAGGTCTGAAAGACTATAGTCTGCAGGCGACGTAAGTCAGGAGGACCATAGTCGGCGGGCGACGGAGGTCGGAAATACTATAGTCGGTGGTGACGTATGTTAGGAGAAATGTAGTCGGCGGACGACAGAGGCCGAAAAAACCGTTGTCTAACGAAGGTCAGAAGAACAACGTCAGGTAGAAGTCCAACAATGGAAAGAAATTCATCTTCGGATATACGTTCAGCGAAAATCCGATAACCGATAGAATTCCGGCGTCTCGTAGAAACTTGGAGAAGAGTGAAGGTCCGACGTCAGGTAGAAGTCCGACGTCTGTTGGTGGCCGAGGAGAATTCCGACATCACTTGGGCGGAGTTTCGACGTCAGAGGGAACTCTGTTGTTAATTGGGAAGAATTTCAGCATCCCGTGGAAGTTGGACAGAATTCCAGCGTCTCCCGAATATCCGGCAGAATTCCGACGTATTCAGGCGGTGGGAAGAACTCCGACGATGGTCAAGGAGGAGATGGTTCTCCTTTCCCCTTTCTCTTCCTCTTCAAGAGTGAAGGTCCGATGTCAGGTAGAAGTTCGACGTCTGTTGATTGCTGAGGAGAATTCCGGCATCACTTGAGCGGAGTTTCGGCATCAGGAGGGAACTCTGTCATTAATTGGGAAGAATTTCAGCATCACATGGAAGTTGGGAAGAATTCCGGCGTCTCCCGAATATCCGGCAGAATTCTGGCGTATTCAGGCGGCGGGAAGAACTCCGGTGGTGGTCGAGGTGGAGATTGTTCTCCTTTCCCCTTTCTCTTCCTCTTCCCTTCTTCTTCTCTCTTCTTACTTGAGTCCTCTTGTGAAGAATGAGGGCTCTATTTATAGTTTTTCTGGAGTGGCATGGCTTGTAAATAGGTGTGAGGTCAGGGTCGAATAGGGAGTGGTCGAATGGACAGTTGATGTTGAATCCTTTGATCGTGCACCGTTCGTTGGACATTTGAAGGCCTTAGTAATGTTGGTCGGCGATCTTGGACTCATTGGATTCGTCTCGTTGAGCCGCTCGATTTGAGTATAAGCTCGTTAAAATCGGAGACCGTTTGGTAACTCAAATTGTGGTACGAGCTTTCCAACAGCACTTCGCGGCGCTTGATTTGGGCTCACTTGGACTCGGATTGAGTTGAATTTGGTGTCATTGGGTTCGTATTTTCGAGACGCTCAGTTTGACTGTAAGCTTGCTGAAATCAGAGTTCAGGTGCTCCCGGATTTAATTTTTGAAGTTTCCGGTTTGGGTTTTGCCTCGAGATTCGTGCCCGATCAAAATAATTTCATGATGACGTATCAATAATAATACTATTAATTATAATTGATAATAAAAAAATACTACACTCAAGTGAATTAATCATGGAAGGAAACATCCAATATAGCATTTGAAATTTTGAAAAAGAAACAACCTCACTGTACCAGACACGATGTAATGAAAATTTATAAATGGCAGATGCTTATTCAAAATAAATGCATATAAGATTTTTTAGAAATTTTATTACAATATAAGTGCATACACAATTAAAAGAAAAAAAGATTATTTAATAGTTCCACAGTTGATATGTAAAAATTATAAGACGAAATTAAGAATTGAAAGTATAAAAAAAGATTTTTTTTTTTTTCCAAATTAAACAATACTCTACAAAATTAGATTAATACATAAGAATAGATAACTTTAATATATAAGATCAATTTACAATAATAACAATATTGCAAGCATTTAAAATTCACCAGAAATCTAAATAGTATGATTTCATAAATCAATTACTTCAAAATCATAAATTAAATGCCTAATAAAACTCTTACGCTTAATTAGTTTATCTCTAGTTCATATACAAAGTGGAAAAAAATTACAAAAAATCACTATTTGTATAAACATCTATCCATTTTTTGAATTGAAAACTTGCTTAATAAAACTCGGGAAGAGCTGAAATCTTATTTTACAACATTTAAAATCTAAACAAAATTTTGATGGGATAAACCTAATAACACCAAAATGATCTGATCCGACTTCAAATGTGCCGAAGCATCAATAGCCGGCACAAACTTAAAGATAGAGGGTCAAATGATCTCAAAATTTAACACGTCCATGTTCACTTAATACCAAGGTAAAAAATTGTTAGCATATCATCCAAATCTCAAGAACATGTTGAATCATGTTGTCCTTCAAGAAAAAAAAAATGTATTAAAGTTTGATAAATTTCAAGAACGATCATATTCATGTCTCTCCTTCTACCAACTCCAAATTGTTCTTCCTTTGAAAAATGATGTTGATTCAACTTTTTAGCTAAACTTCACAAAAAAGTCTTAACAATAATTAGCATTAGTAATATATTTTTTCAAAAATTGAATGACAAAGAAAAATAAATATTGAAATTAAAAAAAAAATGCTACTACATATTTACTCAAAAATTATATATCCAATATTTTAAATAAATTTATAATTAAAAAATAAATAAATTTATAATTAAAAAATATTCTCATTATACACTTCTTTGAAATAATAACATATCCAATTTATTGAAGTGATGGTGTAAACCAGATTGAAGGGGGCCAATTACGCTGCGAATCGGAGTCAAGGAAAAACTGGAAGCAATCATTATGGAGATCAAAAAGTCCAACATCATGAGTAATGTCATCTTGCGTCGTGTTCTCCGCATGGTCTGTAAAGTATATGCAATTTGGTTTAATTCCAGGAGCTACTGTGTGATGCAATGAAAAGGTTTGGTTATAACCTATAAACAAAGAGAAACCCCCCAAGTCCCTGATAGAGATCCATTTTGAGGAAGAACAAGACGAAGCATCAACAGCCGGCACAAACTTAAAAATCGAGATATTGGTTGTCTTATATGTAAACTTTTCATTGGCCTCCAAACAAGTACAATCGATCTCCCTAGTAATTTTTAGAAGAGTTCCCGACAAAAATGCAATGTAGTTCCTACAAGAAGAGTTTGTGTCATGGGGGTCTTCTATTGCTTGGCAAACTATTTTAACATTATTTCCATCGAGATCAAATGCAATTACTGCCGAGAAATGTGTGATCGCGTAGAACCTTTGCTCTTCTTCATGAAAGTAAACATCTTCAAACTCTTCAAATTGGTCGATATGGTAAGGAGGCCGTTGTGGGCCGAGAACCCAAGCATGGTCGCATGGCTTTGCCAAAGCTAGCTGTTTTGAATGGCCATAAACAACAACAGCAGTACCAAATCGGTCGTTAGAGGAAAGGACAATCTTCTGGAAATAAAGATCACGAAAATTTCCACATCTGCGGAAAAGATTGGATGCTTTTCATCATAATAAAATTCGACATGACCGTCAAGGGCGTATTGGGGCTTGATCCTATGCCATTGATCTTCGGGGATGGTCAAGAGGGATGGGAGGGATATTTCAGCTTTTGTTAGAGGGTTGAATAGGCAAGGTTGCATATCAATTTTGTCAAGGGTCACCAGCCATCCATCCTTGGAGCCAAAGCAACGACGACTAAAGATGTGGCTACCGAGGGAGGATAAGTGAAGGAAGTTGTCGACGTTTCCTTCTTTTTTCATGGTAAGATCATAGAATGTGAGTGTGTCAGAGTCCTCTCCGACATTGCTGGGAAGGCACAACCATGGCGAGGGGCAACATTTTATTCTAAAGAGTGCATTATTAGCTAGACCGAAATTCCATGAGGAGCAGACAGCGGAGAATCGGAGGAAGTCTACAATGAGAAAGTGTGATGAGATGCAATAGAGGAGATCTATGGGAAGATCAGACCATGCCATAAATACTATATTCAATGTGATGGGAAGCGATGAAAGGAGTTGCGAAGCCTTCTAGCACTAGAATGCATAAATAAATGAAAGAGAAGTTGGAATCAAATGTGCAATCTTTGGATATATATAGCCCTACCCTGCATTGGACCTCACCAAAGATAATAGGAATAAAATAAGCATTTGTGGCTAATATTGATTTGCAACAAATTTCTAACTCTTTTATGGCTAAAAAAAATGGCCAACTGCCATTATCTATGAATAGAATATGATACATAAGAGAATTATTTCTATAAATAGGTTTATGATAAATTTAAAATTTTAAAATTTTAAAATAGCATTTTGATTTTTATAATTTAAATTAAATGATAATAATGTCTTTAAATTTAATATTAATTTTTTTCTTTTATTACATACAGTTTGTTAGGAGATCAAAAGAGACTAATTGTGTCAAAAATTAAAATCACTCGAGAGATCTCAAAATAATATTTCTTATATATATTTACAATCTTGAAAATTTAAAATAAAAAAAATGGGCTACGGTGCTCCAAACTAGAATTCTATGCATTTAATACAGATATTATATATTAAATTAATTTTTATGTATATCATTATTCATTCTGAATTAATGCATTCATCATTAAGCCATAAAGAATTATGCTAATCAAATGAATTTATATTTAAAGAACTAATACAACTAATATGTAATCCAAAAATATTAATATTTATATTTGTAAATATATATATATACCAGCACAAGAAAGTAAAGATGACATGCACACATTTTTTAGTCTAAATATTAATATTTTTATATGTTAATTTGTTGCGAAATATCACATCATTTTCATATATATATATAATTTATATATATATTATATATAATTATAATATTTATTAAATATATATTATATATATGACTATATATATATATACTATCATATAAAAGTCCGGTCAGTCAGTGGCCCTGACGGAAGTTTGATGTCAGGTCTTGCCAGACGAAAGTTTCTGGTGATAGTCGATGTCAGGTGGAAGTCCAGCAACAGTCGTTAGTCGGGCGGAAGTCTGGTGACAATCGATGGCTGAGCAAGAAGTTCCAACGTCATTTGGTGTCGGGCGGAAGAATCAATATTATCAGATAGCTAGAGAATTCGGCCAAGAAGTCGGTGGCGGGACAGAAGTTATAGTGGTATTTTGTTTGCCTCCAACCACAAGGCATTCGTAGCTTTCAAAAGCCAACACATTACGTATCACGTTAAGTTCCTGTGATTAAATTTATTGAATGTCCTCATAATAGAAAAAATTAATTATTTGATCCCAAACAAATTTTGAAAATTTTGTTTTGTGATTTGATTTAGATTTACTTTTTTTATATAAATAAATAAAATTCATATATTATTGAAGCATTATTAGAAAATTTATTGTATTAACCATAGATCATTGTCCAATTTGAATTGAAAACTTACTGAGTTATACTCTGATTAACCATAGATCATTTGAACTCTGATTTTCTCACATTTATAGCCTATGTGAATGTCTCCTACCACAAAAGTTAGAAAACAATCATAGGAACAACAATAAGAATGTGCCCTTTAGCTTTTTAATAAATATAAAAAATAAATAATTATATTAATTCATTATGCTTAATTAGTTCTTCACATAGTTTTTTTTTTTATTTCTTATTTGGATCTAGAGGCACAATTATGATTTTAAATTAAGGAGACAAAAGGGGTTATCCAAAACTACAAAGAAAAAAATTCGTATGAGAATAAAATTTTATTATAAATAAGTTTTGTTTGTTGTACAGTTACTTAAATTAATTGATAAGATTAAAGAGAATTAGGCTTAGCTCCAGCGGAAAATAAGATTAAAGAGAGTCACCTTAGGTGGTTTGCTCACATAATACGATGGCCTTCTGATGACCCGGTTAGGAAAAAAGAATTATTACATTTGACTTATATTAAGAAAGATAGAGGTAGACCTAAAAAGACATGGTTTGAAAATATTAGAAATGATATTTCTTCATTACATTTAAATGAGAATTTGACTTTTAACATGACACAATGGAGAAAAGGATTCATGTAGCTGACTCACTTAGTGAGACAAAAGCTTGATTATTAGTCAAGGCTTTTAAAACCGGATTGGACCGGCCGGTTCAACCGGTTGAACCGCGAACCGGCCAGCCGGCCGGTTAAGGTTCAAATGAGAACCGCTTTCGCTGAGAACCGGGATAAACCCGTTCGAACCGGCGGTCTGACCGCCGAACCGCCGAACCGGTTCCGGTTTCGGATAACCGGCCGGTTCGGATCTAGATCCAACGGCAGC